GAACATTAGACTCTATCGCTCCTATAAAAAGGAAATTATTAAAACATAGGAGACTAGCACCTTGGTATAACCACCAAACCCGCCAGTTAAAACAAATAGCTAGGAAATCTGAAAGGAAATGGCGCTCTTCCAAATTATCAGAATATCGCTCAATTTGGCAAGATAATCTTAAAATTTATAGAAAGGCCCTCCGTGATGCCAGAGGAGCCTATTACTCAGCACTAATAGAAGAAAATAATAACAACCCTAGGTTCCTCTTCAGCACTGTAGCCAGGCTGACAGAGAGTCACAGCTCTATCGAGCCACATATCCCCATAAACTTAAGTAGCAATGACTTTATGAGCTTCTTCTATAATAAAATTATTACTATTAGAGAGAAAATTAATCACCAACTGCCATCAACAGTTATCAGTGTCTCTCCAAGTTCAGGGACTTCTGTCAATGTAAACTCAGATATATATTTAGACTGTTTTTCTGCTATTGATCTTCATCAGTTAACTTCAATCATTTCTTCATCGAAGCCATCAACCTGTCTATTAGACCCGATCCCAACTAGGCTGCTTAAAGAAGTCGTTCCCTTAATTGGCACTTCTTTACTGGATATGATTAATCTTTCTTTATTATCAGGATATGTACCACAGTCCTTTAAAGTAGCTGTAATTAAACCCCTTCTTAAAAAGTCCACTCTTGACCCAGGGGTTTTAGCCAACTATAGACCGATTTCTAACCTCCCGTTCCTCTCTAAGATTCTGGAGAAAGTAGTCGCCAAAGAGTTGTGTGACTTTCTACATAACAATAGTTTATTTGAGGATTTTCAGTCAGGATTTAGAGTTCATCATAGCACACAGACAGCTCTGGTTAAAGTTAATAATGACCTTCTGATTGCTTCTGACAATGGACTTGTCTCTGTACATCTTAGTGCTGCATTTGACACCATTGACCATGATATTCTTTTACAGAGACTTGAGCATCAAATTGGCATTAAAGGAACTGCACTAACCTGGTTTAAGTCATATTTATCAGATTGTTCGCAGTTTTTACATGTTAACGATGAATCTTCAATAAATACTACAGTTAGTCATGGAGTTCCACAAGGTTCTGTACTTGGACCAATACTATTTACTTTATATATGCTCCCTTTAGGCAACATTATTAGGAATCACTCCATTAACTTTCACTGTTATGCAGATGATACGCAGTTCATATAGCCCAATGAAATTAATCAATTATCTAAATTACAAATATGTCTTAACGACATAAAATCCTGGATGAGCTGCAATTTTCTGATGTTAAACTCAGAAAAAAACAAAATTCTTGTTCTTGGCCCCAAAAACCTTAGAGACTCACTGTCTTAAGATATAGTTGCTCTAGATGGCATTAACTTGGCCTCTAGCACCACTGTCAGGAATCTTGGAGTTATCTTTGATCAGGATTTGTCATTTAACTCCCACATAAAGCAGACCTCTAGGACTGCCTTCTTTCATTTACGTAATATTACAAAAATTTGACACATCCTATCACAGACAGATGCAGAAAAACTAATCCATGCATTTGTTACTTCAAGGCTGGATTACTGCAACTCTTTATTATCAGGTTGCCCCAATAAGTCCATTAAAACGCTCCAATTAATTCAGAACGCTGCAGCACGAGTACTGACAGGAACTAGAAAAAGAGATCACATCTCTCTGTTCTAGCTTCTCTATTGGCTCCCTGTAAATGTAGAATAGAATTTAAAATCCTCCTCCTCACCTATAAAGCTCTTCATGGTCAGGCCCCTTCATATCTTAAAGAGCTCATAGTACCCTATTACCCCTCTAGAACACTATGTTCTCTGAATGCTGGGCTACTTGTGGTTCCTATAGTCTCTAAAAGTAGAACAGGAGCCAGAGCCTTCAGTTACCAAGCTCCTCTCCTGTGGAACCAGCTTCCAGTTGTGGTTCGGGAGGCAGACACCCTCACCACATTCAAGAGTAGGCTTAAGACATTCCTCTTTGATAAAGCTTATAGTTAGGGCTGGATCAGGTGAGTCCTGAACCATCCCTTAGTTATGCTGCTATAGGCCTAGACTATCGGGGGATTTCCCATGGTGCACTGAGCTACTCTCCCTTCCTCTCTCTTTCTGCACTCATTCATGTTCCATTAATGCATGTTACTAACTTCACTTCTTCCCCGGAGTTCTTGTGCTTTCTCGTCTCGCAGGTTCTTATCGATCCTGGTGGAGCCTCCTGCCATGGTCCTGCTACATTGCCATTGCCAATACTGTTGTTGCTGTGCACCTGTCTGTCTGTCTGTCTGTCTGTCTGTCTGTCTGTCTGTCTGTGTGTCTCTCTCTCTCACCCCAACTGGTCGAGACAGACGACCACCCACCTAGAGCCGGAGGATCTGTCCTAGGTTTCTGCCTTTTAACAGGCAGTTTTTCCTTGCCCTTGTCTCCAAGGTCTTGCTCATGGTGGTACTGTTGGGTCTCTGTAATTAATGTTATAAAGAGTTCGGTCTAGACCTGCTCTATTTGAAAAGTGTCCTGAGATAACTTCTGTTATGAATTGGCGTTATACAAATAAAATTGAATTGAATTGAATTAACAGAGCGCTAACAGAGTCAATCAATCAGAGCTGATCTGAGGAGCGTGTCACAGACCTGGACGAGCCCCGCTGGGTCTGTGCTCGCTCTGCAGGTGGAACGTTACCTGAGAACACCTGAACCCCTCCTCCTCTCTCCTCCACTCACCTCCTCCTCTCTCCCCCTCTCTCCTCCTCCTCCTCTCACCTCCTCCTCTATCCTCCTCTCCTCTCTCCTCTCCTCCTCTCTCCTCTCCTCCTCTCACTGTCTGTTTGTAAGTTTCTTATTGAAGCTGTCAGAACAACAAACAGCACAGATGTAAACAACCCCCCCCCCTCGGCTGATGTTATCTAATTGATGAGTCAGTGCTGTAAAGGTCACAGGTGTGTGTGTGTGTGTGTGTGTGTGTGTGTGTGGTGTAGGTTTCATACTGTATGCTGTTACAGTGACTAACACACAGAAAGGGAGGAGGAGGAGGAGGAGGAGGAAGATCTGCTGTCCAACCTGTTGTGATGCTCACTGCTGAATATTTACTGAACGTCCAACCTGTCTGTCTGTCTGTCTGTCTGTCTCTTTCATATTTGAAGAGATTGGTGTATTTATTGATTATTGTTTGGACGTCGGCGACCTGATCCGAAATATCACAGACGAAACCCAAACAGACGCCATGAAGTTAAAATCAGAGTGTTTATCTCGTCTCTGTCCAACAGGGACAGGAAGTCCTGGTTCAGGTGTCTTCAGGTGTTCTTAAAGGTGTTTGAGAGTTTCCTGATAATCAATAAAAGTATCTGATGACTCATCCTGCACTCGGGGGCGTTTACTGATGCTGCGTCCAATCAATGAGATTCACAGAGTTTCCTGATGGGCCGATAGCTTTAGCTAAAGTAGCTAACCACTAATTAGCTGCTGCTAACTGTACATGTCGTTAGCGGGCGTCAGAACCGGGATCGAACACGGCCCCCGAGACCGACAGGGAATAACGTTACAGCACCGAGGTCATTCACAGAGTTCCTGATGGACAGATTGATCAGTAGCTAACCGCTAACTGCTGTTAGCTCGGTCAGCTGTGCAGCTAAGCTAACTGACTCCGGGATGCCAGGAGGCACAAAAACCACCTCGGTACTGGATTCACTGTCGGTGTCTGAGACTGTGTTCGGTCCCGGGTCCGGCTGTGTTCAATGGGAGGTCGATGCTGACGCTAGCTCATAGCGCTAGCTGCTATTGGCTGCTGTAAAGGCCAATCAATATCTGTGACCCTAACTTCCTGTTAACAGGAAACAACAATGCTTCACTCACACAGAACCTTTGACTTGAGGTCCCTTGAATGTTTAAATTTCAGGCCTCCAATGTCCTATAATTTAGATAAGAAGATCGGACTCTTTGTGCTACGCTAGGCTACCCTCCTAAAAAACGTGTTCAAACTACTAATTACAGACTTTAAAACCTCATTTTGGTTTAACCGTTAAGACGCTGCAACATGTCGAACATCAGGACGTCACAGAGCTGAGTGTTTCTCCGCTGGCGTCATTTTCCCACAGAGAGACACCGGACGGGCGGGGTTTCCCCTCTGAAGTTTCTCTTCTTGTGCTGCCGCTGAGGGTTTCTGGTTTTAACCACAGCTCTGAGACTGAAACGTCACAGAAGCTCTCCGCCCTCCTCCGTCCTCTCTCTCACTGCTGTCACTGTGGGAACTGTTCCCAGAGTGATCTGTGATTATCGGAGACGCTGTGAGGTAGAAAGTGCAGAGTCAGTTTCTGTCTGACAATAAAAGAAACAGATACTGAAATAAAATCAATATTTAAACTTATATATTATGTAGATTATATTTAAAACTCTACTTTTCCCTCGGGATGAATACAGGTGTACCACAGGGCTCGGGTATCAGTAATCTTAAAATTGTAATCTGCCTTTAGTGTGTCCTCACCCTGAGATGTTGAGTCCAGAGTCGGATGTTGTTCAGGGTCTCCTGCAGTCACAAACTGATGCTCACTTTTTTTTTTATTTTGGCTCACAGATGTTTGAGATGGTGTCTCCCACTTTGGAAACTAAATGCTGTCGAGACAAAATGTGTTTTATTGCAGATTGCACCTCCCTCACATCCACTGCTCAGATTGACACGTTTCAGTCTCCAACCTGTGAACAGCATGTGCACAGACACTGCAGATACAGCCTGTTTGAATCCCACGAGAATCAGACAGACTGTCCTCAGATCAGATCAGAGGGAGAACATGAAGCAGGGTGGAGCTCAGCTTTCCCTGGAAAATTAGAAAGCTGCTGCAGGGAAACGCTCCGTGTTTTCTTTTTATTGCACTCCCATGAGCTTCACTTTCTCTTTTCCCTCCTCCCTCCCTCCTCCCTCTCTCAGGAATGTGTTGAGGTGAAACCAGGCAACCCTCCAGTTCGGCTCAACAGGAACAACAGATACAACAACATGACCTCATTCAGTCCTTCAGCTGCAGGAAACGGGGCCGCTGCTGCTGCTGCTGCCGCTGGGGGGGCAGCAGCGTTTACCTGTTACCGACCCTTTCCAGTGAACTCTGATCTGAGTCTGATGATTACTGACAGGATCTCACAGCAAAAACAAAAACACAAGGTCATAAAAATCCTTCAGATCATCCTCAGAGGAGAATTATACATACAAACATTATTGTGTCACAAAATGTCAAAAGTCTTTTTTAATCTTGAGCTCACAAGTTATTGTTGTTTGTACATTTTATATTGATGCAGATTATTGATCGCACAAGATCCATGACTTCTTTGCATAATAAACGTTTTACTTGTCATCTGTTGTTCAAGAGATTCTGTGTGATCAGTAAACAGTGGCGTTATACTAACTGCGACCTGTGTGTGTAAATACTGCACATTGCGTCCTGATGGGGGCGCTACAGAGACCAGCAGCAGTATCAGGACTCGTCCTCCCGCAGGCTGAAACAACACAATTGGTGGGAATCTGAGACGCAGTCGTTGAGACGTCTCACTGTGTTGAACAAGTGTTGGACTGACATCAGCGTCCTGTCGGCTGCTAACGGGGCAGAAAGCACAGATGGTGAAATAAAGATGGACTGAGCTGCAGGCGAATGTGCTGAGACAGAACAGATGACAAACTGCAGCACAGAACGTGATAAAAGTTCATCACAACAGTCTGATTCCAGTAAGAGAGAGAGAGCAGGTCAACAACATGACTCAGCAAACAGTCACACTGCTGGCCCACCGCCAGCTTCAGCACGTCTGACAGGAAACATCAGGGACGGACTCAGATCATCAACTCTGATCCTGTAAATCCAGAACAACACAAACAGCTGGAGAACCTTTCCAATCTGTAAACAACAGAAAAACAAGTTGCTGTGAGCAGACCTGCAGAAAGTCCCCTTTACTATTAACAGCAGTCACTCTTCTTCTGTTTTTATATTCATAAATACTGTATCTGTATGTATGTGGAACCAATATTAATAATAATAATACTCATCATTCTATAGAGGAACAGAAACAGCAAATATCAGCAAAAAACAATAATCTATAATATATATATATATTAACAACTACAGTTACTTTACTGATATTTAATATGATTTATTTCAAAATGAACATTACTGTTAATTATAACTGCCTAAAATGTGTTATTGTCATTAGTCACGTTAAATGTCGTTAGTCATGTGAAAGTGTTTGTGATATTTTGGGAGCAGCGGCGGTTCGTGGCGAGCTGTTAGAGGTGAAGTCAGCAGAAAAAACTGACAGACGCTGAGATTTACAGACAGTGAGGTGGTCACTGAAGGAGACATGTGAGTCAGGAGAGGTCTGTCTGTCTGTCTGTCTGTGACTCATGTTTCTGTCTGTTTCCTTCACAACAACTCTCAGCTGATCTGTGAGCTCACAGCTCCACCTGGTGGTCAGGTTCAGTATCTACACTCTCCTGTTCCTTCAGTCCACAGCTAGAAGTGTGTAACAGTGAGGATCTGTTGTCAGACCTGTAATATAATATCTATATTAGTGTTTAATCAGCTGATATAAGAAGTTTGTTGTCTTAGAATGAGACGTTTTTATCTGCAGAGGGAGCGGGTCCTCTGCTGGCGGAGTCCGCCATGATGTTTTGTCTCTGTTTGGTTGTTTATTTATCTTTCACTTCATTTTACAGAAACCAGCTGCACCAAAGTATCAAAAGGTCAAATATATGATCGGAATCAATAATCAGTATTCCAGTCTTTGCTGAACATGAGTTTAGGAATGAAAGGTTTGATTAGAGGCAGTTTGAGTTCAGAGATTGAAGCTAATAAATTTCAGCAGCTGATCGAACGCGGCTGCTGAGCACTTCACTGCGTCACCTTCTTCTTCTACGGCGATTTACAAGCAGACGCAGTGTTAGCGCCGATACAATATTAATCAACAATGAACCTGCTTCTACTTTCTATCTCCTGTGTGTCCTGATGTTTCACGTGAGGTGGAAATTAAACCGTCTACGCCGTCTCACTGAAAATGGATCGGTGTGTTCCGGTGGTCACTCCTCTTCTGCTACGTGGAGAAAATGGCGCCCGCTGAGTGCGAGTGTCCAACGTTCTGAGCATTAAGACCCATCCGGGTCCTCACGGTGCTGCTCACTGACGGTGCTGCTCACTGACACTGACGGTGCTGCTCACTGACGGTGCTGCTCACTGACACTGACGGTGCTGCTCACTGACACTGACGGTGCTGCTCACTGCTCACTGACGGTGCTGCTCACTGACACTGACGGTGCTGCTCACTGACGGTATGAACTGACTCTAACAGTCAGTGAGTGGGTTCACACTGAATGTAGCTTATACAATAAACCAAAAAGGACACCTAAGTTATCTCCTCCTCATCCTCCTCATCTTCATCCTCCTCATCCTCCTCATCTTCATCCTCCTCATCTTCATCCTCCTCATCCTCCCTGTGAGCTTCAACCTGCTCACACTGTCGGCCATCTTTAATAACACACACAGCATCTCAACAGTCAGATAGAGCCAGTTAAAGGTCTGCAGAGGGAGAGCACGACTCAGCACCTGACAAACGCTGAGTCATGATCCTGCAGGAACACACACACACACACTCACACACACACACACACACACACACACACACACACACACACACACACACACACACACACACACACACACACACACACACACACACACACACACTCTCACACACACACACACACACACACACACTCACACACACACACACACACACACACACACACACACACAGTTACTTCCCGGAAACAGCGAGCGGAGAGGAAGGAGGAGGTGATGCTCGCCTCCTCCCGGCTCTTCCCGGCAGTCAGACCCCTCACGAGATGCAGCGCACCACCACCGCGAGCGAGCCGATTGGCTGCCGCTGAGCCCGGCCTCGGGCCAATCGGTGAGCAGCTCTGAAGTGGGTCGACCAATCAGACGCAGAGCAGAGATGAGATGAGAAGTACAGAGATGTACTGTAAACAGAGAGCGAGTTCCCGTCATCGCCCCCAGAGGACACAGTGTGTGTGTGTGTGTGTGTAACAGATCAATACCAGTGTGTGATTGATGATCAGAGTTCACACTGAACTCAAACACACAGCTTTGTGTCATCAACGACTTCCTGATCCGATGTTCTGAACTTTTACCGTTAATCAATCGTCAGCAACAAAAGGATTTCCTGTCAGTGTTTCTGTCTGACCTGAGTAAGTAATAGATTACTCTCCCTCTGAAACCACCGACCACTGTTAAAGCCAAACTCCGTTTCCATGGTAACTCCTGAGGGTCTGATTGGTCGCCTTCCACGGAGTCCGCCATGTTGAACCGCCATGTTTCTACAGGAGTCCAGAACCGGCTCCGCAGAGGGATGTTCGTGTTGTTTGTGCGTTCGCGGCCACCGTAGTTTCTCCTACATGCTTGGAAAGGGAGGGTGAAGCGAGGGAGTTTCAATCTGAAACTGCCCCTCGGGATGCCTCAACCCTGCACACCGAGACTGTTTCCACAGGCTCTCACCGTCCACATGGAGATTCCTGCTCCACGTTGTTTAACAACAAGCAAACTACAAGCTGATGTTATAGATTTCAACTTTTAAAGACACACTGATCTAAGATCGGACTGTAACTGTGAGCTAACAGAAAGGCTGGTTTAGTAACGTGTTATTAGCTACTTCCTTCCATCAGGCTACATAAAACGTTGTGAGTTGTGGCTAACTGTTTGAGCTAATGAACCTAACTGACCTGAATCCAACTCATTTACCTGCTAAACTCAGACAAACTGCTTAATGAGCCACTAAACTGAATGTCGGCTAACAGAAAATGCGGCAAAAAGACAGAGCAATCAGTTTATAGGGTAGTTACGGAAGCCCTAAAGGGCCATGCATTCACACGTTTTATTTCCTACGTTTTCCCGAGATAACGATAGAAGTAATTCGAGATCTCGAGATAATGACGGTGATTTGATAACTGCGGTCGAGCCAGCCGTTACTCCGATCTTCGTGGTCAAATCAGCCGCACTTACACACGTTACATTAAAGTGTTTCATGCGCCCATGATGAATAAAAAACACACTTAATATCAAACATTTTACTGCACCAATGTGGAGAAAGGCCAAAACAAAACAAACAAAAGATCCATATTTGTATCTCCAAGTGGCATCTTTTATTATATTTGAGGTACAAACAGGTACAAATATGGACTTTTATTGTTGAATTTCTCCACATTGGTGCAGTAAAATGTTTGATATTAAGTAAACTTGTATTCTTATATGTGTAGAAGTCAAATATACCGTCCACAGCCAGGAATTGTTTGAGGTTTGAATTATAGCTTACTGTTCTTAATACCTTTATTTTGAAAAGCGGAAGTGAATATGCTGTAAATTAAAGTGCGGCTGATTTGACCACGGAGATCATATCACAGTCGTTATCTCGAGATCTCGAGAAAATTAACTCGTTATCTCGGGAAAACGTAGGAACTAAAATGTGTGACTGCATGGCCCTTTAGGGCTTCCGTAGATAGTTGTAGCTAACGCGTTAGCAAGTTGTCTACTTCAACATTCACAACACAGAGAGCAACGTTAGCATCCAGGTTTAGAAACTGGCTTGAACTTAAGCAAGCTGTGAACTAACCTGAGCAGTTTAAGATCTTAAAATAAAGTTAAAACAAACTGTAAGCTAACCTTAAACTATTGCTAGCTGCTAGCTCAGAGAGTCTAACAGAAAGAGCAGAAACTAAAGGATCCACAGCACAGAGAGCGACGTAGCATCCATCACGCTAACCTCGATTTATAAAAAATAAACCATTAGCTAGCTTGAACCAAACTGCTAAGATCAGACAAACGTGTTAGCAACGTTAGCATCAGGACTCAAAATGTAAAAGATACAAAACTGAACTGTTAACTTATCTGATGCTAGTGTGAGCCATATTCTTTAAACTGATAAACAGTTGAACCTCTGACACCGAAACTGACAACAACAACAACAACAACAACAACAACAACAACTCTTTATATATTAATGATATTCACATTCGAGACTCCAGAGAACAACCAGACCTGATCCACTGTGGTCGACCTGAACGAACCCAGACAGCAAAATCTTTTATAAACTAATATTCAATTCAATTCAATTTATTTGTATAGCGCCAATTCATAACAGAAGTTATCTCAGAACATTTGTAAATAGAGCAGGTCTAGACCGAATTTCATTAATTAACAGAGACCCAACCACCACCATGAGCAAGACCTTGGAAAAAAGGGAAAGGAAGCCTGTTAAAAGGCAGAAACCTAGGACAGATCCTCCGGCTCTAGGTGGGTGGTCGTCTGTCTCGACCAGTGGGTGAGAGAGAGAGAGGGGGTGAGAGAGAGAGAGAGAGAGAGAGAGAGAGAGAGAGAGAGACAGACAGGTGCACAGCAACAACAGATATAATATATAATATAAATAATAATATAATATATAATATAAATAATAATATAATATATAATATAAATAATAATATATAATATAAATAATAATTAATATATAATATATAATATAATATATAATATAAATAATAATATATAATATAATATATAATATAAATAATAATATAATATAATATATAATGTAAATAATAATATAATATATAATATATAATATAATATATAATATAAATAATAATATAATATATAATATAATATATAATATAAATAATAATATAATATATAATATAATATATAATATAATATATAATATATAATATAAATAATCTGGAGCTTTCAATCCGATCACATGGTATTCCTCAGATTACAAACAGTTTGTATTTGGGTCAGTGAAAACATCTTAAAGGGTTATTACACTTTATATTCTGTTTTAATCTCCCATCACAAGAGCCACTGAGAGAGACAGCCCGGAGCCTACATTTCCCATAATGCATCTGGATAGAGCCTTGGCAAAATCTCCCAGAATCCCCCAGCTGCTGTTACCAGTTGTTCTCCTGCAGTCCACAAGATGGCAGCAGAGCTCTTCTTTATTTCCACAAACCCATAATGAAATCCATAACTCTGATCAGATATTATCAGATAAAGATTTATGATCAATTCAAGTTTAATAAGATTATTTTATATTATATTTCTCTGTGGATCAATTCTGATCAGCTGAATCTGTCTGTATTGATCAACCACAGGGGATTATTTATCAGGATTACAATTAAAAATCCATCAGTTTGTCTTTAATAGGACACATTGATTGATTGATTGATTGGTTGATGAGAGGTCATATTGATCCGATCAATACTTACTATTGATCATTCTTTTCTCTTGTTTTATTCACATGTTTATATTGAGGTAATCGAAAATGAACAGAAAGTAATCTAGTTACTTTAATATGGTGATACTAAGATTATGTGACTGTAATCAGATTACATTTTAAAGTAAACCTCCCAACCCTGATACTAAATACATTTACTCAAGTACTGAATTGATGATGATGATTTTGTACCTGAGCACTGCGACACATCAGCCTCCAGGTGGCAGCAGCAGTTTGACTGTTAGCAGACAGTGGACGAGCTCAGGCCCCAAAACACCCACAAACACATAAACATATTTGTGTTTTCATTAGAAAGATAACTTCTTCATATTTATTTCTGTTCTTACAATCTCAGGTATCGAACTGTAGCTATCTATCTGTCAGACGAAGACAAACCAGATGTTTTCTGTACAACAGCGCTGTTTTTATTCAGTTTTTACCCTCAAAACAAAGCTGAAGCCACAGAGCGTCGGTGGGACTGCAACCGAACAGACAGGAAGATAAAAACAACACATTGTATGTTGGGATGTCTCTTTACATCAAATATCCTCAAATAATGACACAAACACAATCTGACATAAATATGTTACATCAACTGAAACTGAAATTAATTTAAAAAGGAGATTTTTCCTCCAGCCTCAATCACCTGACCTCCTCCTGCACACCTGTCACCTGACTGAGACTCACCTGTGTGTGTGTGTGTGTGTGTGTGTGGTTGATGGAGCTCACTGAAACCTTCCTAACTCCTGTCAGTCAGTTGAATCATCTTCCTCTGGTCCCGTACTTCGATTCTGCTTTTTAATGTTTTGCTCTACGACATAAAACACGTCAGTAAATACTCCATCTGTATCTCTCCAGTTAGCTAGCGTTTTACAGTAGACCCAGGATGGAGCCTTGTGGTACTCCACATAAAAACATCAGTATGAAAACTGAATTAATTTCTCCACAGGACAATCAATAAGTCATCAGCTGTCCGGTTCCCTCTCCTCAAAGTCAGTGGGCTTTTTGTTAGATACCTGAAATAAGGTCGTCCACAGGTGGGACGTTAACTGATGGATTTTATGTCGTAGAACAAAAAGTGAAAATCTCTCATGCTAACCACAGACCTGATTTCAGACATTAACCTAAAGGGTGCTAAAATACTAACTCACTTAAATCCTGCGCTAGCTGCTGCCTTCAGAAATACGCCAGCCTGCAGCACTGTAATGAATTCTACATTTTATGGTTCCGCCTCAGTGACCTCCTGAAGAGGTTTTGTGGCACTGATGGGATGTCCGTGTTTTGGTGTTTGGTCGAATTTCTCTGGTGAAAACTGATGGACCCTGAAATAAAGCAGCACCGTTTTTAGTATCAACTCAGTTTATCTGTGAAATCTGAGTTATATCAGGTAAAGAGTTTACAAACTGAAACTTGAAGTGATTTCCCTTCCTGCAGCGCCAGTGCCCCGACATACAAAGTGCAGCCATCTTTAATATTGCTAAAGCTCGAGTGATGTAACTATGAGACACAAAGAAAGCTTTTTACAGTGAAAAGAAACACATGGAGCATTTTTCCAAAAGTGCATAAAATGTGATCAGCGTGGACTCACTGACGTGTAAATAAACATTTTGATGAACGTGTGCTTATCGGTCTGTTGCTCTCTGCCGTTAGCTTGCTGTTTGTGCTTTGGAAAGTTTTAAGCTCACTTATGTTCGGATAATAAACCAAACTGTCAAGTAAAGTTGTAGGAAAGGCATTTCAAATATACAGCGACACAACGTCCCCTTTCCTGCTAGCTAAAGGAACAGTCCGATGTTTAGAAATCGAGGGTTATCAGTACAGACATGTCATTAGCCTAGCTTAAAAAGCTAATGAACTCCTGACTTGAAGCAGGGGAATGCTAAGCTAGGTTTAACGCCTCTCTGTACTGGACACACAAAGATGAAATGATTCCCAATATCTTGGACTGCTCCTTTACATCTTATATGCAGTTCATTAGCAGCTACGTGTTTGTGCTAACGGATGTCGTATCCAGTGAGTCTGACACGAGAGAGCGGTTTCCACTGTAGACCGTCAGACCGCCGCCAACAGGAGAGCGGTTTCCACTGTAGACCGTCAGACCGCCGCCAAAGAGGCGGTTTCTGCAGACCGTCGACCGCCGCCAACGGGAGCGGTTTCCACTGCAGACCGTCAGACCGCCGCCAACAGGAGGGTTCAGACCGTCAGACCGCCGCCAACAGGAGAGCGGTTTCCACTGTAGACCGTCAGACCGCCGCCAACAGGAGAGCGGTTTCCACTGTAGACCGTCAGACCGCCGCCAACAGGAGAGCGGTTTCCACTGCAGACCGTCAGACCGCCGCCAACAGGAGAGCGGTTTCCTGGACCGTCAGACCGCCGCCAACAGGAGCGGTTTCCACTGTAGACCGTCAGACCGCCGCCAACAGGAGGCGTTGCAGACCGTCAGACCGCCGCCAACAGGAGAGCGGTTTCCACTGCAGACCGTCAGACCGCCGCCAACAGGAGAGCGGTTTCCACTGCAGACCGTCAGACCGCCGCCAACAGGAGAGCGGTTTCCACTGTAGACCGTCAGACCGCCGCCAACAGGAGAGCGGTTTCCACTGTAGACCGTCAGACCGCCGCCAACAGGAGAGCGGTTTCCACTGCAGACTGCAGACCGCCGCCAAGGGCTGTCAGACCGCCGCCAACAGGAGAGCGGCGGCGCCTCTACGTGGAGGATGGCAGCCGTTAGCCTGTAGGCTACGTAGGCGTTCCTCTAATGGCGGCAGGAAGCAGAGCAGAAACCTCCAGATGTCACAACCACCACGAAAAGAATCGTAACAGAAACGTCATCAAGGAAGACTTCACTGTCTTCAGTAACGGTTGCGTTTGTTACACCAGCTTCCCTCTTCCAACCAAATCCCTGAAAGTCCACTTGAGCTGTAGGTTTGTTTTGTTGAATACGGTTAATATGACTGTGGACTTTATATTGAAAGGTTGATATGTTAGCGTGCTCAGATTTCTGTCTCATGTTGTTGGCTTTGCTGTCTTTTGGTTTATGTTTAAGCTAACTGATCATTCATTAAACCCGTTCAAACACTCGGTGTATAACTTTAGTCTTTCCACAACCAAATCACAAGAGTAACAGTTAAGAAATGAATGATCTGCTCCGACCACACAACAAAACAAACTTACCATCTTTACATTTACTGTAACGTTAGCATGTCATCGCTGACCAGTTGTAGCTCACAGGTTAAAATAGAGACTTTAAAGAACATCACATTAGTATTTTTAACAAAGATATTCCAGCTGTTGTTTACGACTCGACAGTACGGGCTGGAAGGAGAACCACAGATATACAACAGGTAAACTCCACTTCCCTGTCGACAACCCTTAAAGCTGCTGTGTCCTGAGATAACTTCTGTTAGGATTTAACTAAAACACCTCAAACAATAATAAAGAAAAAGATTTTCTTGACTTCCCCAACGAGGACGGTTAAAGAAGTTACTTCTTAGACCAAATGTTAGCATATCATTAGCTAAGCCCATTAGCTTGTGGTGTTGTAGGTTGTGATAGAAAAAGCCTCGTTCAGGCTAAAATTACTTGCTAACGTTGACTTTTGTTCGGCCTCTGTCTGTATTTGAGGAACCAGGTTGCACATTAGACCTCTGCTCAACCTGGACCCGACTCTGGGTTTGGGACATTCTGTTTACGTAAAACTCGGGTCTCTGTTTGGGTATTTTCTAATTTATTAAGTCATTTCTTTCTTTATGACTTTGCCAGTTTGTCTGTCTCCTTCCATATCATCATGTCCTGCTAGTACCGAACTCCCCCTCGGAGCAGCTAGCCTGTGGACCCAATGCGCTGACGGTCCACAACTGATTAAATGTATAAACAGGTACTAGCTTTCCAGTTGGGTCTCAAATTTGGCAGCGCCAAACGTGGTCGGTCCCAGTTTCAGGGTGTTTGCAATGCATTTTGGGTATTGTAGACTGTGAGTCTGTCAGTACTTTTCAATCTTTTAATTCAGTGGAGTATTCCTTTATTATGTGTCATATAACGGTGGCAGGTGTGTGTGAATGTTTTTTTATTTCGGGGTCAAAAACACAATCCAGTTCGGGGCCAGGAGGAGCCCGAGGCCCTAGTATAAATAAAGTTTCCATCAGTTGGTGACATTTTGTTCCTCTGGGCTTCGGTGTTCAGACAGACGGAGGAGGAGACGCCGGTCCTCCGTCCTGCCTCCTCTGCTGTTTCCACGTCTCTACAGCGAGTCCGCCGCCGCCGCCATTCGCCCTACATGATGCTGCACTTCCCCTTCAGCTTGTCGGCTCGTTTCTGTTTCCCCGAGCGTTTGCCGTCGATGCTCAGGCTCATGTCCCTCTTCTTCTCCAGGGCCAGCAGCTCCTGGAACAGTTCCTTCACGTTGGAGTTCGTCTTGGCTGACGTCTCCATGAAGGCACACTTCCAGGCGGTCGCCTGAGCCTCGCCCTCCTTCGTGTCCACCTCGCGCTGGGCCGTCTCGTCACTTTTGTTGCCCACGAGCATGATGGGGATGGCCTCCACGGTGCCTTTGATGGCCAGAACCTGGAGAGACACGGGATGAAGTCAGTCAGGACTTTCTCTACGTATCTGAGGTTAGAAAATTAATTTCAAGTTCCAGAGATTCATTCATGAAGTTAGAGCTTTCAAACATTATACTTTATAATAAGCAGACAATGTACCAACCCTGACCTATAACTGATGAGTGAGGGATGTTAAAGGGAAAGAATGTGAAATGGTGTTAACAAAAATAAAACTCGCTTTATTTAATTTACTAACTTTATTTTAAGTGGCAGACGGTTTTAGCTCTTTTATTTTTATTTTTTCGTTCGTTATTTCACCACAAAATTCACTCCTGATGTATTTTGCTCAGTTGATAATGATAGTTAAGAAAGGTTAGTTAATAGTTATTCAGCTTGGAAGCTAGCTTTTGGTCCTGAGAATATCTGAAACGAGAAATCAGCTGCGTAGATTGCGAATATCGTCGGTTTTAAGAAAGTTGGTGGCGAATCGAGAAAAAGCTCAAACATTGTATCTTGAGTTGAGTTAGTACTTGACTGCTAATATGATGGATTATCTAAGTGTATAAGTATAGGAAGATTATTATTAGTTATTACATATTAATTATTTTAATTATAAACCAAAGAAAAGACATTTGACCTGTTGGTAAATGGGTTTGAGCTCCTCCAGCGACTGGCGGCTGGTGATGGAGTACACCAGGATGAATGCGTGGCCCTTAGAGATGGAAAGACGCTGCATGGCGGGAAACTGGTGACTTCCTGTTGTGTCTGTGATCTGCAGCGTGCAGACACTCTTATCACAGCTGATCACCTGCAGAGAGATCAGGCAGCGATCAATAATTCTAACATATTAGCAGATCAGGAGTTTAAATGATGACACAAACTGTCCTACCTGTCTGTACGTGTCCTCTACGGTGGGGATGTAGGTGTCTCTAAAGGTGCCTTTCACAAACCGAAGGACAAGCGAGCTCTTCCCCACCCCGCCGGCGCCGAACACCACCACCCGGTAGTCGTTACTCTGCTCGGGCATTCTGGGAGTTGGAGTCCGCCCTGCTGCTCTGGATGGCTGACCTGTTTGCTGAGGAAGAGACGACAAGAGGACAATTCATTTTACAGAATCTATTCTTATCTTTTCAGATCGAAGTCACCAAAGTTACCTATTAAAATGAAGAGTAACAGGATGGTGAACGTGTCGGTAAAGCAGGAAGCGAGCCGATCACTCTGGGAGCGTTCAGACAGCGAGGCAGACAAACGATCTGAATGTGATTAGTCTGAGTGCCATCAGCAGTAACTGGTAAATGAAAACCACTCTGGTGTTTTTGTTCTGGGAGAGTCCTTCAGCTGGACGCCCAACTGGCTTCAAGTGCAGATCATCTTCATCACAATGAGCATGTAATTACTGTGTGTGTGTGTGCGCGCTGTCTTCAGTTAGCGAGCCCAGCAGCCATAAAGCAACTAGACGGGCTAAGGGGGATAAAAGCCAACCAAATGAAACCGTTAGCCTTAATAAAATGAAGGAACTCTGTGTGGTTGGAAACAATTGGGTTATTAAAATATATATCTATAAAGTCTATAAAGCAAACGTCTAGTTGTTTTTAGACCTTTTAATGTAAAAATATGTTAACATTGTTTATAGATTAGTTACATATTTTCAT